AGGACCACGTCTCAGATCCGTAAGTCATCACTGGCAACACGCACTGGTTGTACAATGTCGTTTTCAGGTTTTGAGGTATGTCTAACGAGAAGATGTGTCGTAGTTTCCCGAACGCTGCCCAACCGAGTTGAATCCGTCGATTGACCTCTCGGTCGAAGTTGGACTTACTTAGTCGGACTATTTGTCCCAGGTAAACATACTCGTCAATAACTTCGAGCTTAGTGCTCCCAACAACTACCGGCATAGGTGTGACATGGATGTTAAACATGATTATTGTTTTGTCCATGTTCATCTTAAAACCTCTCCGTTGGGAAGCACTATTGAGGTCATTGAGCATAGTGCTTAGGTCCTCCAGAAATTCTGCCATAAGGAATATATCGTCGGCAAATCGAAGGTGAGTGATATACTCGCCATTGATGTTGATACCGTATCCTTTCCAGTACAGTAGCTTGAAAACGTCTTCCAATGCAGCGGTGAAGAGTTTCGGGGATATAACATCACCCTGTCTTACACCTCTCTGCAATTGGATAGGTTTCGTACTCTGCTTCCGTACTCGGATAGCCATCGTAGCTCTATTGAACAGTACACTTCAGCACTTCGATATACCGACAGTCCACTTGGCACCGCTGGAGGGACTGTAGCACCGCCCAAATTTCGACGGAATCAAAGGCTTTCTCATAGTCTACATACGCAAGATAAAGTGGCAGATTGTACTCTTCGGTTTTCTGTACAATTTGCCGAAGGGTATGTATGAGAAACATGGTGCTTAAGCCTTTTCGGAAACCGGTTTGTTCGGGAGGCTGGAAGTCGTCAAGTCTACGTGCGAGACGATTCGTAATGACTCTCGAAAATAGCACGTAGACGCGGCTCAGAAGGGAAATCGGTCTGTAGTTCTTCAAAAGAGCGTTGTCACCTTTCTTGAAGAACAAGACCACCGCACTTCTGCTCCACACCTCCGGAGTAGAACCACCATGGAGGACGGAATTAAAGAGCTTCTGAAGGACTTCAAGTACCGGTTTTTCACCCGCTTTCAAAAGCTCCGCTGTAATTCCATCCTAACCTGGGGTCCTGCCGTTTTTAAGGTGCTAGGGAGCCATTCTAAATCTCGCTCAGACTGACGTCCGGGATATCCTCGGAATAATGTCGGATAAGACTCGCTCGTGGATCGTTACTCACACTTGCGTGTGGCTCCAACGATGACGTGTATAGCTGCCCATAGAAACTCTCAATCTCACTCAAAATCTCAGGTATCCCGGAAACGATACTGCCACACTCGATCTTCAGCTTTGACAGTTGGCTCTTTCTGGCAGACAGATCTCTGGCAAAGAATTTGGAGCCTTGGTTCCGCTCGATCGCTTCTTCAATACAAACTGTATTGAAGTTGCGGAAGTCCCGCCGCCTGCATTTGGTAAATCTATCTGTTCAGTTGCCTGTATGCTGTCAAATCCGTAGAAGAATGTAGCTTCGTCTTCCTTCTAACAGCCATGTGATTAAGAGTGTGATCGGAGAGTTTTTGTGTTCTTCTGCGGTAAGTCTTGCAGAACTTAGCTCCGACCGCATGGACAGTTTCCACGAGCTTGTCATTCATATCGTCCACTTCATTGCAGTCTTCTAGGCATTGAAAACGGTTTTGTAACTCGAGCTGAAAGGTTTCGGGACTTTGGATTAGAGCACGAGGGGGACGGAGCGTTGACTTCATTAGACGAGACCTCTCCAACTTAACCTTTAGGTTCAGTGTGCCTCTAACCATTCGGTGATCGCTGCCGGTTTTCACCCTCGCGATCACTGAGACATCACTGAACAGTTGTCGTCTGGTCGTCATAATAAAGTCAATCTCATTTTTTGTCGAACCGTCGGGGCTCGACCAGGTCCACTTCCTGTGGGGCCGCTTCTGGAAGAAAAAGTTCATCATAAAGAGTCCCTCTTTCTCCATGAAGTCGGCCAGCTGCTGGCCCCTTGGGTTCCGTTGCCCTATTCCAAATTTCCCCATTTTCAGCCCACCGTTCTCTCTTGTGCCTAGTTTTGCATTGAAGTCTCCCATTAACACCGTATATTGGGTTTTGGAGGAATACATGGCTCTACAGATATCCTCATACATTTCCTCCACCTCCTCATCGGGGTGTGCAGAGGTTGGTGCGTAAACCTGTATGACCTTCAGCGAATACCGTTTGGTGATTCTGAGTATAAGGTACGCAATCCTCGTCGACACACTCTCAATCTTTACAACGTTGTTAACGAGAGACTTGTGGACGATAAATCCGACACCTCCTTGGGACAGATGGTCGCCCTCCCGGTAATAGAGCAAGTTGCCGGATTCGAGGATTACCGTTTCCTCCCCCTCTCTTCGGACTTCAGATAATCCTATAATATCCCAGCGTAACTTGTCTATCTCTTCTTCCAGCTCCACAATCTTCTCGTCAGTCCTCAAGGTACGTGCGGACTGATGCCAGGTCGAGTCATCGTAGGTGGCAACCGAACATCCACCGGAGATTCTTAGCACCCCCTACCCCGCCGTTACCATGGTCGCCACCGTAGCCAGGAATAGCGGGGCCGCCGGGGACTGGGGGCCGTCTCTTCGTAACTTTCATTATGGGGGGTATATTGCCATAGTTGCCACGCTTGGCAAGCGGGTTGGCAACCGCAGTTTTTTTTATGGTATTTTTGCCGTTACCAGGAAGATGCTGCTGCCCATCTCCTGCCTGTTTCCCTTTGTCGCCTTTTACGACACCCACGGGAAGATATAGGGTAGTGGATATTCTTAACCACCACTACACGGCATTAAATATATATATACATGCGGCTCACCTGATGGTAAGTGACTACCGCCGCCCATGAACAACTGCAACACCAGGGAGAGAATTGCAGATGCGTTGCCGGCCTTTTAAAAAGGAGTAAGTTCTTTTCTTGAAGGTCCCTAAGTCGTATCGGTCCGGAAAAATCGCTGGTGGTAATCGTTTCCACAAGGAAGTCGTGCGAGGAAGAAAACAACTTCTAAATCGCACAGTGGTGGACCGCCAATCATCCAGATGGTATGGATGGTATCGGGAGTTCTGCCGCAATGTGCCTTCATGAAATTTGGCGGCTGGGATTAATCCGAACAATTCCTCAGAGCACTCCCCGTGGTAGATGCGAAAGAAAATGCAAAGGGATGCAACATCTCTTCGCAGTGCCAATGAATCGAACCGATCGGAAAGTACTCGGTCGTCGATGATTCGAGCCGCTCTGCGCTGGATGCGGTCATGTGGAAGGAGGTGGCACCGGGGAGCCCCTGCCCAGAGATGGGAACAGTATTCCATGTGTGGCCGAACCTGCGCCTTGTAAAGTTGCAGTCGGTGTGCCGGCATGAAATACTGTCCCGCTCTGCTGAGCACACTAAGCTTTTTAGAGGCCAATTTGGCCTTCTCTTCCAAGTGACCACGAAACTGCACGTCACTCGATATGTCGACTCCGAGGATTCCGATACTGGCTGAGGCAAGAAGGGGAGCGCCTTGAAACCGAGGAGATACGACAATGGGGTTCTTTTTAGCGGTAAACGCGCAAACTTGTGTCTTCTGAGGATTAAACTGGACTAGATTTAGTCGCCCCCAATCCGAAACTTTGTTCAGCAAAGACTCGACTTCAGACACAAGTTTGTTCCGGTACTCTGCGAAGTTTTCCCGATAAATATTGGCAAGGCCGGTGTATAGAGCATCACCAGTGCTGTCATCCGCATAGCAATGAATGTTACCAGTTAGCAACATATCATTGATATGCAGAAGAAACAGCGTTGGTGATAGCACACAGCCTTGTGGAACACCAGCATTAATAGGCTTGTAGTCGGAGCATGCCCCGTCTACAACGACCTTGATGCTCCGATCTGCAAGGAAGCTGGTGATCCAATTGCACAATTTCTCGGGAAGCCCATAGGAAGGGAGCTTCGAAAGAAGCGCTTTGTGCCAAACCCGATCGAAGGCCTTCGCAATGTCCAAACTAACTGCCAACGCCACCCCTTTGGACTCTACTGCCTCCGCCCATCTATGGGTCAGGTAGACCAGAAGATCACCAGCTGAACGACCCCGACAAAAACCGTATTGGCGGTCACTAATCAGCTGGTAATCCTCAAGGTACCGCATGAGCTGGCAGTTAATAATGGATTCCATTATTTTGGAGAACAAGGAGGTGATGGCGATAGGCCTATAGTTGGACGGGTCTGAGCGGTTTTAGGGATCGGGTGGACAAAAGCTGTCTTCCATGAATTTGGGACTACGCCTTGGGAGTAGGAGTACCGGAAAAGACGCGTTAGGACCGGTGCCAACTCCGGAGCACACGTCCTCAGCACAATTGGGGGGATTCCGTCAGGCCCACTCGACTTCTGGATCTCCAGGGAGAGAAGTGCTTTGCGAACCGAGCGCTGTGAGAACAGCACATCCGACATGGAGCACTCACACCGCGGGATGGTCGGCGGTGTTTTCCCCCCGTCATCAAGAGTCGAATTGGACGCAAAAGGGAGCCTAAAAGGTCGGCTTTGTCTTTTGCGTCTTGGGCCAGTGAGTCGTCCTCCCTGTGCAGAGATGGTAGTGATGGCTTACAGAAATTCCCTTGGACAGCCTTGGCGAGAGACTAGAATGCACGAGTTCCCGAAGGAGGAGGTGGAGGCCTATATTCAGCAGTGGACTTTTGTAGGCTATTATAGATGGATGGATAATGCCAAAATTACTAGTCTAAGGTGTTATTACCCAGATACAGTAACATTTCAGATTATTTAACAACAATAATTGGCCATAATGTGCCATGCCTTTAATAGAAACAATTAGCAGAAAGTAGGTAACTTCCCCATAAAGTGTTTCCTATGCTGTGTTCTTATCTGTGAATAATAGCAATATTCTTGAAACCGACCACAGCACTCACTCATTACTCATGAACAATAAATGAGTACTGTACTGTGTACACCACAGTACACACTGTGAGAAAATACCTTTTAGAAGATAAGCAAAGCACCAGAAAAAGAAATATAAACTTACCCACGAATCGCTCCCACTTGCTGTTCTTGCGGTAATTCTACAGCTGCAAACAGATGCATCTCTCCATCTCGTCCAAATACTCCTCCTGGGATCTTTCTAAAACAAAAAAAAATTAAATAGTATAACAAACTGCTGTTGAAACAAAGAATTACAAAATTAAATAATATACTTAAAGAGTCACTTTAGCAATTAACTTTGAAAGTTAATGAATGTGGGTTAACAATGGGTGAATTGGACATCAAATGCCACTTGTATGCCAATGATCAAGCTAGATTTGCAAGTTGCAAATTATAGTTACATTTTTGCATCATTAAAAGAAATGGGAATGAAAGTGAAAACAATGAAAGTAAGATAAAATTGATTGTTTTTGAAAGAGAATAGAGGTTGGAAGAGGAGTTGGCTGAGTAAGTTGATGAGTTTGTGTATTTAGAATGTGTTTAGTAGGGATGACAGTCATGACAAATATATAGAACAAAAAGTGAACGCAGGACACAGTGATTATGGCTCTTCACTCTTATTATAAGAAATCAGACTGTAATCACAAAAGGCATGTATATTAATATACAATGCTGTTTGTACCAACCTTAATATATGGTACCTTGAAAGTTGGCAAAAGGCAGAAAAAGCATGAGAGTAAATAGAAATGCAAGTGTTGAGAAATATTATAGGATGTGAAATTATGTGATAAGACAAAAGTGTGGTTTGTAAGATGTTTAACAGGATTTATAATGGAATACTTCAGAGGTTTGGAGAGAGAGAATTGAACTAGAGATATAGAATTAGAAAAGAGTGACAAGGAGTAACCAGCTTCTTTCTCCTATATTTATTAGATTTAAAAAAAATCTTTAAAACTACATTTTTCTGTATAAAAAACTGCTGCATCAGAGTATTTAGATTTTTCAATGTCCAGTCCACCTGATGATAAGTGGTTGCTGTGGCCCATAGACATCTACATCTATCTTTGTTTGCGAATCAAAATGCAGATGCGTTGTCACCCGTGAGAGCTAAACTGGAAAGCCTCTTTTCCAGTAAAAAGGGTCTCCCGTTCTCTACACTCACCATACGAGACACAGCAGTGTTAAGCTGCTATTTTACGCTGTTATTTAGTTATACACAGTTGTTTTTGGTAATTGAGACGACAATTACCAAAAACAACTGTGCAATACTAACTTCTATCAACACATTACTTTTATTTGTAAAATTAAAAAAAAAGATACAACTTCGCTTTTTTGATAAATTTATGTAAGCATGGAAATAGCTCCAAATGGAATTATGTGTATTATGTACTATAATTATGTTGTTATAATAAAGTATAAGAATGGAACTGGGTATAAAAATTTGGATTGATTCATTTTAAAGGGCTGATGAAGGCGAAGAAGATATATGAAAATATTATAAGTTCTTCTGTACAACTGTTGGTGAACCTTACAAGCATAAAAAAAGTAGGTAGTGAATAAAATTACGTTATTTATATACTACTTTTGTCTAAGTTATTATTACACTTACCTTAGAAACTTTTTTAGAACACTAGCAATTGTGTACACTGAATAATTATCTACATTAACGAGTCGGCCTGACTGCAAAAAGTGTATTAATTTTTTCATGGCACCTTGATGGCCAGGAGCGCGGAATACATCGCGACGAAGAGGCGCTTCTTTGTTTAATTTTAGTATCAGCACCTGAACACAACACAAAATTTATTCAAAAGTCCAGTACGTAACATTAATCATATAAATTTAAAGTGTTTTGCACTAACAAGCAAAGGCCCTGGAATATCGTCTTTGCATACTTCTTGAAGAGGAACACCAAATTTTACTTTTTCTAAACGTCTTGGATACGGGAGAGAATTAGGATGTCCGCAAGACGTGACTACATTGCTCAATGTAGCAGCTCGCCGGTGCATCCGTCGCGCCCAATTGCTCATGTTGAGCGATGACTACAAGGGAATATTTTATCTACCGCCACGTTTTCTTGGTTTTTAAAGAAACTGTTTAGACACGAACATTATGCGGTTTACAGTAATCTTCGACACTATTTTACAAACAAATACGAAAATATTTTTTTTATTGACAAGTATAACTATGCCTCTGAAGCGGCAAAATATAGTTCATTTTTAACCACATCTCCATTTCTAACAACAATTTGAATTTTCAACATTAAAAGCTGACTGCAATTCACAAACAATAAAAATAAATTATTGATATTTCTACAACAAACTTTTTGGTTTTTGGCATAGTCTTGCCACCAGTTGTACGACCAAAGAGTATAGCAAAGATAATAGTAATATATTATGTGTAGTGCTGCGTCAACTCGATTTACTAACACGAGTTAACTCGAGTTGCGCTTAACTCGAGTTAACTCGAGTTGGATCTCCCTAATTCGAATTTGGGCTGCTGTACATGAACAGATCAAGTGAGTCAACAAAAGAGTAAGAGCGCGATTCGTTGTTTGTGTGCGCACTTTGTGTTTCAAAGAGTATTTAGCTACAACCAAAACAATTTGTTATTTAGAATTTTAAAATGCTTAGTTGAGTATGTAATTTAATTTCTTTTATAATTTTGATTAATTATGATCAATATAATTGTTCACGGCCGAACGCTGGTTTCGGAATTTGACGCCAGAGGGCGCTCGGCTCGGCGCCATACCAGTTTTGGCGTTCGATCGAGCGGTGCGGTGAGGGCGCTCGAGCGCAGCAGTTTTTTGCAAGCTGTGCTAACGTCAACACGCTGTCAATTTTTGTGCGGCAAACGCGGAATAGTTTAGGCGTCTAGTAAATATACTGTCTAGGATTTATAACGCGCATTCCTTGTTTGATAGCCTTTCCCGGGACTTATTGACTATTAACTCAGAATCTGTATAAGGGCATTCGACAATGTTAACTACTATTTTAGAAATAATTGTTGCCACGCGAAGCGGTAGTGAACTTTGATCCGGACATTCGTATTCGGACGGTGTGTTACGTTTTTGCTTATAGTAATGGGATTTCATATAGACCGACACTCCGTGTTCGTTTTGTGTGTTAAGCTTTATAACAAACGAGAGTTAGTGGCTTCTTTAAGTTAGTTAATTGTACGATAAAGTTAAGGACTGTCCTCGTGACGAACGAAGAAAGTGACTGTGGACTACTCCGCGGAAGATTACCACAATTTGGAGCGGTGCTGAAGTCCGAGCTGCTGCCGACGGCAACGGTCTCATAAGGTCTACCACACTCAGTCACACACAGATACACATCACTGACCCTTACTTCCCAGGCACCATACAACCACATGCGACCTGACTGAACCCTGAGGGACCAGTCGCCTTGGATATAGGTAAGTAAGCTCGGTTTTAATATTCTCCCTGTTGGATTGCAGTAGGATAGAACGCTCCCCCTGATTGTTTATTGTTATTAGAGACTTTCCACGCGGCCCCTTGCTGAGGCCCGACCTGCATCTGCTTTACAAGCAGATGCAGTCTTCCGCTATGGGCCCGGAAGATTCTACTCTTATTTAGGCAGCTGTAGGCCGAATCATTCTGGTGATTTCCGAGCGAGGAATTTTTTGTTGATCGACCGTGATGTGTATCTTATTTGTATTTGAACTAAAGAGCAGTAATTTGAATTTCCGCAATTTGAATTTAACTTGATTTGATCGTACTAGTATTTGTTATTTGTTAATTTAATTTGTGTCTTTTCTTTTGTGCTAACTTGTATTTGGTTTGATAAGTAGTAATTTGTATTTGTGTAATTTCTATTCAACTCGATTTGATAGGAACTGCATTTGTTAACTGTTAATTTTTTGTTGTATTTGTTATTTGTGCTCGAGCCGCGTCGTAATTTGTATTTAGTAGTGATGTCATCGCCCAAGCTACTAATCCGTTGCCTGCGTACTGAGTTACGCTGAGCCACAAGCGCCCATGCTTTGATAGGTCGACCGGATAGGGTCCATAACTTGATGAAGCGGTTCGATCAGGTCGATGCACGAAGGGCCGCAGTGGAGGAGGCTTACGCTGAGCTCGAGGATTCGGATGTGGAAAAGGGAGTCCTGGACTCCTGCTTCGCGGATTACGAGCAGTTCTTTTCGCTCACGAACGAGTTGATCGAGGCTGAAGGCAGGTATGCCGAGGAGGCGCGTGAAGCTCGGATGAGTGGCCTGCCCGAGTCCTCTCGCAAGCAGTTTAAACCGGAGCTGTTGGGACGACTCCCAACTTTGGACCTGCCAAGGTTCTCCGGGGTCCTTTCCGAATGGCTGACCTTCGTTGACCTTCGACAGCCTAGTGGACGCCCGGACTGACTTGCCTCCGAGCCAAAAGATGGCGTACCACCTGGCCTCACTGGAGGGGGAGGCCCTGGGCGTCGTTGGCCACTTGAGATTGTCGGACGACCCCTAACAGACTGCTCGGGACCTCCTAGCCAGAAGATACGCCAACGTCCGGTGAATTGCGGACGAACATTTTAAGCAGCTTCTAAGCCTCCCGCTGCTTAGTGACCGGGCCAGACTACGTCCGGACCTGTTGAATACAGTCTTGGTGGCCTGTAATACGTTGAGGCGGCTGGATTTACCGGTGGGCTAATGGGCTTTTTTGTTGCTCCACATCGTGCTGTCCCGTCTACCTCTCGACCTTCCAATACATTTTGAGGAGAGGTACGGCGGAGACGAGGCCTCCTATATTCCGCCCTTCTATGACCTGCTGCGGTTTTTGGAGGAGCAGTTCCAGCAGATCGAGAACGCGGCGGGCACCGTTGACAACTTACGAGCCGTGCCCAGTGAGAGGCTGAATCCGCCAGGCAAGTCGTCGTCAACCCCCCCCCCCCCCTGCTCCTATTGTCGAGCATCTGATCACCGGGTACCGTCGTGCCCGAAATTATTAGGTAAGCCGGTTCCGGCGAAGCGAACTATCGCCAAGGAGCGCCGCTGGTGCTGCTCATGTTTGGAAGGGTACCTCCAGCGAGACTGTCCGCATCGGCGGCCCTGTCTGCATTGCTAGGGCAATTACCATGCAGTTTTGTGCCTGGGTGCGAACGGCGTCTCCTCTCGGGGCTCTGCCAGGTCTTCGACTCCCACAGGCGGGGGCGCTCAGCCACGCCCTCTGACGGGCGACTCTCGGCGCCCGCCGGCTAGCCACCAGGCCCCTAGGTTTGAAAAGGGTCCCTCCCCCGACCAGTCGGGGTCCCCCCAGCGTGTGGAGAGGAACTTCACGGCCACTCATCGGTCCGCTGGACCCTTCTCACTCCCGTTAGCTGAGTGGCCGCGACTGGTGTACCACTGTTCCCCATTTGATGGAGGCGGCCCTGGCTAGCTGCCGGCTTAGCTCCCAGCACGGCCGCCTCTACTGAGCCTTAAGCCGTCAACAGTCCACCTATTAAAATGTTCTGTTGCCGACGGCCTCAGTGAAGGCGTACAACCCGAGTGGCGACTGTTAGCGGTTTGCGCTCTATTGGTCTTGAGTTCACGCCGTGTGGCCCCCACTTGGTGGTGGGAAGATTAGGGCCCCCTGGAGCGTTTAATCACGCTGCCAAGGGGTATTAGATTTGGTTTGGTCGAGCACTTAGTTAAAAATTCTTTAAATTAAAATTAAAAATGCTTTTGGGTTTTCCGCGAAATTTTCATATTTGTAGCGGTTGTGATTAAAAGAATTGAATTTAATCTACTCCTTTAAATGCTGCTGCATATGTTTTGTAAATATATTTAATCACTGTGTTTATTGTTGCACGGAAAATTGAAATTGAATTATGAGCCCTTTTGAATGCTTGTGCGTATGCTTTGTAATTGTATTTGATTGTTGCGTCTGTTTGCTGAAAGGAAAGTTTGAATTCATTTGAAACTGAATGTCGCGCTATTTGGAAAATTATGTATATGTTTTGTGATAGTGTTTAATCATTTTGCTTTGTGAAAAGGAAGGCTGAAGTTAGATAACCCTATTTGTGCAGATGGGAATAAGAGTCACTTCTCTTTTGGTTTACATTTTGTTGGCACTGTCTAAGATATTTAAATGAGAAGTAGGGCTGTCCCTTACGTTTATTGTTTTGTTTAATTTGCAAGTTGACCTATGTGCATCGGTGATTATAGTACGGCCGCTGAGTTATTACCGATTTGACAGATTATTCTTAAATTAATCGATATAACCTTGCACGAGCGACACATTTGCCGAATGATTTAGAATACCTCTTTAATATAAAACTTTATGTCAAAATGTCAGAATCAAGTAATTTTCCAATAAACTCTGTTTCAAAACTTAAAATAGTTTGTAAATAATATGAAAACATTTATTTTTTGTTCTTTGGCGCGCTTGTACAAAGTTACATCGTGCGTCTAGTTTTCATAGTGATGTGCTTGATAGTATTCGGTCCGAATTCATTGGAATAGATATGATATTTATTTTATTTGGATATTTTTATTTTACTTATTCCTTCGAGCAACTAGACTATAATGCTACCATTTTTTGCGTCTCCTAATTGCACTGTGTTGCCAGTATCTCTATGATTTTTAAGATTTATGTGTGATCCAAAGACAGAAATACTGTTTTCTATGATTTAAAAATAAATACAATTAAAATGATTATGTATAATTTTTAACATTCATAATATATAAAACAACATTTAATAAATATAATTTTCTCCCTCAATTAAGCAATGTTATAGGTGTATTTTTTTAAGTAATTGGCGATACTATTCTGGCAACACCCTTACCACCGCTATTTTAATCTGTTTAGTCGTCTTCCGTACTCTCGTGCGCACAGACTACGTTCTCTTGTGTAACCGTTGTTTTTTGACTCGGCTTTCTCCTGTTTATCGTTGCGCTTTATTGGACTAATTTTGTTTGTGTTTGGTAATTTTGTTGAAAATGCCGAAACGAGGAAAAACATTGAATAGTCAATGTCGTGAGCTTGTACTAAAGCTACAGGATTACTTTGAGCGTGAGTCACAAAATGGCGGCCCTTTGATTC